CCAGAGCAGGAGAACCTCTTCATCCCTACCCTCGAAGGTCTTACGCTCACCATGAGCTTCCTGGGTCGGAAGGAGTCATCCGTCGTTAACGGTGGCGTCATACACGCAGTCGACGCCGACAGCTTCTGCTGTTAGATTGACAACAAAGTGCTGCCAAGTGTAGCGGGCTGCCGTAGCACTTTGCTTTGAGGAAGCCAAGCTAAGGCCACCGACCTTACGTTCTTTACAAGAACCAGTACGATTGTAGCGGATCGCAATCCGTTACCTCAAGTACTTAAAACCATAACCAGGGCAAAGGCGCTTTTTCGTTCAAAATTGAAACTGTATTTAATTGTTTTAGTTGCGGCAAAGCCGCCAACATCTCAAGCCTTAGGTTTCCTGATTAATATAGTAAAACCTAACTACTATGCATTACTATTGACAATCTTGCCACATAGCAGCTTCTTAATTTGGTGTAGCCACACCACTGTGTGATTACACCAAATTGTGTAATTCACACCTATTCACGGTCGCACCATCTTGAGCGACCCGCCCTTTCATACAAGGGTACGTGAAACCCCGTTACAGTTACTGGTACCATCTTCATGGTGGGTCTTTAAACGGGTGGCTCGCACGGAGATGTTCGCGTTCGATCGTTCATTTTTTAGGAAGCGGAATGAGTTGCATATAATGCGAAGTACAGTTTCTGCACCGCGCAAGCTGGATGAAGTACCGAAAAAAAGCTCATCTAATGCGCTCTAAACGATGAACCGTAGCCATACTGAGGAGGAAGAGATAGATTTCTTAGCTGCTGAGCAACTGTGTGTACTCGCAGATGTTACTTCGGTGTTCATACATAATATCCTCTATATTTGTTCGTTTTTTGCTTTCAGCTGAGGGTTACGAAACGTTGAGCTTCTACGCAAGAAAGCCCAACAAACTTTTAATAAAGACTTCGATTTCTTGTATCCATAGAGCAGCCTTCTGGGAGGGACCTGTGTTCTATGTCACCTCGTGGAGGTCATAGTCAATGAGCCCTCGCCCTTGTCATTGAAGAATGTCGGGCTCACAGCCCGGGGTGACTAGTACAACCCGCGCATCATTAAACCGTGAAATCAAGATAGTTTGATAGCGTCATGCAATCATGATGGATGCATGACGGTCGAAGAAAGAGGGATTGAACTCTCCGATCCATTATAATTCATAGTCGAAATAGTTAGGTGGTACGCATTTCTCTCGCTGTTGATGTATAGCGGTTCATGAACCCACATTTGAAAGTGCTTTGGCGAAGGCAGAATCCCGTGCAAGCCTTCATGCGGGATATAAGACGGTTCGGAACTGATTACAATCATATTGCTTGGCGCTTTGAATAAACGCAAAAGCAGGAGCCACAGCCTCCGTAGTGTACCCTATTTAGACGTAAAGAACTACTCTGTATCATGGTCCCAAAGTGTATATATGGCAGTGAAAAGATGGTGTAGGGCTAGTAGGGAGCGAACGTGACTGTATGTCGCAGTACCCCGTGCGGGCGGAGGAGCTGAAGGGCGACTTTAAGTTGCGAAGAGAAAAACCAGGTCTTTTACTCACGAAGTATCGGTAGTGCTGACTCAGCACTACCGTGTGGCGTGCCCATTGTGTGGAGCAGTGAATATACATGGGGACACGTCAAGAATTTCAATTTATATGTGAGCGGAGATGCAAGTGTAATCCTATGGCTGCATATTTCCTCGCACCACGTTCAAATCAATTATTTAAAGAAATATTTGAAAGAAATTGCAAGACGGTGTAGTCACCGATATGGGACGGTTAAAGAAGTTGCTGACATCTTCGTCGCTATGGAAGAAATTTGCTAGTGTGGACAATCGCAGAGCCCTGATTGCGAAGAGTGGGACAGCAACTTAGGTTAAAGGTATATCACGACGTGGTGCTATTATGCCTGCCGTGTTTGCTTCCTCGGATCGGGAAGTGCGTCATGAGATGAACTTACATCTTGAACTTTCATTTTTTGAAGGGCAATGACCCTTACTTAAGGAGCATTTTGATGTCATTGACGTAGTTTTGTGCAAAGCACGAGAAGGATTTGGTTAGAAAGAGTGCACCTACCCACTCAGCGTTAACGTTTTGTGTCGGAATCTCTAACAAATCAGCTGCGATTACTTCTATGTCCTTGACTGGGAATGAATAGAATCAACTGCTGATTGGAGGCAGCGATATGCATCTCGTTATGTAGATTATTAAAGCGGAGATCTGATGGACTGGTTGGGTATACCATAGGTACTGTCTTACTTTCCAGGAACCCTCAATCATCCAATGACTTAATCGTTGAGATCAAAACGTGGCAATGTGCAAAAATCCTTCGGCGATACTTTATCCCTAAGGTCGTGTGGAGCACGTGAAGAGGATACATTGAACATTTGCGAGCTGTGCTTGAGTGTACGCGTATCGATGAGCTGCTTGCCAATATAGATAAATATATTTTTTGCACCGGAAAGATTATATGTCTGGAAATTTCATCGGAAAGGACGTTTGTTTTGAACACTAATGGTCTGCAAGCAGTATGTCTTTTCTCATCTGTGGCAGCCATCATGTGGTTCGTTCAGTAATTTTTATTGAAGTCTTCAACATTAGGTTACTGTATGTTGGTTTGATTACATTATTGCTGTAAGACAGCAAAACTTGGTGTAATGGATAGCGAAGTAGCTGTGCGACAGCACGCTTGAATAAAACGCTATCTTGATTCCTAACCTCCATAGCTCCCTAAGCCATCAGCAACGCAGCAAATCTTGCGTCTAGCTCATACGTTGTACATATCGTGTCGTCAATTGGCGACCACGGTGACATGCGGAAGCTCAAGTTCGGGACAATAAAGGGCACATATATAATCGCATTTCAACGGCCGGCTTGTAACATACTCTAAATGTATATTCAGCAAAGATCGATAACCAATGTGCCGTGCTCTGTGAGCAATGTGGTTACGACGTCGCAGCAGCGAACTAAGGCCTTTATAGATATTCATTTTGGTTTTTACCAGCAAACCAGCATTTATATACTAGCCAGGCACCACACATCGTATCGAAATCTATAGGTTTTCCTATCTCCATAAAAATCCTAATTTAGTGCATAACTACTGGCTGTTCCAGCCACGTACTGATTTTTTTAAGTGTAACCACACCACTGCGTAAACACACCGTATTTTGAAGCTAATACCAGTGTGTGATCACACCATATTGTGTGACCCACGTAATCTATACCATGGCACGTGAAACCCTGTCACAATATATGCTTTTGCACGGCTCTAACCTCTGCTGTCAGCCAAGAAAGTGCACTGCTGGCGTTGTAGTTGGAACACACTTACTCCGACAACGCATGGAAGTTTCATGTATTAGTTTGGCGCAATATTCCATGACCGGGCGCGTCCTCGACTTTTATCTTCCTTTCAGAACCGGAAGAGTCGCCCTGTGCAATGCGCGGTGCACGATCGCGAGGGGACTGTAGCTGTCAGACAAACGGGCATTGGCACTCTTGCCAGCATTTTATAGTCACAACCCAACAGAACTACCACCTGCGCTTCGATTAGTACCGGTCCGTGCCCCTCAAAAGCTGGAAAGTGTTCGTGGAGAGATTTTAAGGAATCGTCTCGCTCTGGCTGAGAGCGGAAGGCCCATGCGAATGCATGTGTAAGTTCTCTTTTCCAGTGCAGCTAGCAACACCTGGTGGGTTGGAGCAATATCTACGACAATAGATCTATTCCAAATACATATCACTACTGAACTAAAAGAGAGAGCTAAAGAATTAGCTAACCGATAGAGGGTGGGATATAAGAACCCAACTTCTGTCGCTTTGTTTTCGCGGACTTCAGGAGTCAATTATTCCTCTATGCAAGGTGCATGGCACCCATGTTGCAAATTGACATTCCCATGTGCAAGGTGTATGACAACCCATGGCAAAGATGCTCTGACTCGTTTCCCTCATATTAAACTATGGAGACTGTATTATACTACATCATGTCTCAGTAAATACATGGGATGTACGAGCGCTACTTTCCACCTCATTAGGAGACCGCAGCTCATTGCTGCGTCCGCCCACTGAGCTTAGCTCACAACATTAAGCAACATCCTTTGCCTATTAATCTGGATGATGCCAATTGGTGTACACCAATCTAAGAAATTACATTCCCACTCAAAGAACGCAATCGATTTGCCATACAAAGAGTTTGCGCCACACGATTTTTGCGACTTTTGGCCGATCATGGCATATGACATTTCAGCCAAGATAAGGTTTGCGTCGCGAATTTGGCCTAGGAGCATACAGCAATTCACACTGTCAAAGACCTCGAAATGCCCAGAAACACTTAAAGCTCTTGCAGTATATTATTATCCCTGAAAAATAAAAGAGTACGGTATCCGTATTTTGCATCGTCAAATTAACCGCTACCAAATATTTTCTCGATTGTCGCGTGTCATTCTTAATTGCACAATGTCTTTTACTCTGAAAGGACTCCGCACAAAGCACGAGACAATGTCACTGACACCAATAACCTGGGCTATGAGCACCAAATCTAATAGAGAAACTCGCACCCTTGAGGGCTGCATTTTAACGATTCCGACCTCCACTAAATACAATAGAGCCCAATGTTTTTCGAGTAGACTGTCTTGTACCTACTGAAAATCGAAAGTTCCCGCAAGGTCACTGGTTGACCTGCATGCGGCCCGACCGCTTTTATGGAATTATCCAACCGGAAGAGAAGCCATACACAGGGTACAAATGACTGGTATTGTCTTAGTTTTGTCATCCCCCAACCCTTCACTGCTCGGCATCAAAGAGATCGCCCTCGCTTCTTCAGCTTAGTATTTCCTCGGATGCGCTAAACTTTCATTTCTTCCACTCTTACCGGCCCTCGCACCACCAGAGTTGTGCCGAGCATATATTGGGACCCCTACTGCCATCTTGAATTAGGTAGGGTGGACGCGGAATTATTGGTGAAAGCCGCACCTGTAAAGAATCTCTCATCAAGATAAGCCTCAGGGTCTGCCGCAATTTCGGTAGTCGGGGTTCTCATTTGCACCACAGTCTGCTAATTCTCTCCTCATTTGACAGGTGAGCTCACATCTTCGGGTTACTAACGCCTGCGACATCTGTTGCTTCTTCACTCCTCATGTTGGGAATGCTTCGTCGACGGAGATTTTCTAAGTAGGTGCCCATTCGTGCGCGGCCTCCTAGCTTTGAGACTGCTAGCGCTGCTTTGTCTGGGGTATGACCAAAATCATGACCATCATAATCTAACTCATCCGGTGGGGTTTTCCTTTCCTTACCCTTTTCTTTCGGTGAGAGCCGATTGTGTTTTTTTGGCACCTGTTTAAGTTTTTTTTAAGTGCTTGGCTGATGACAAGTTCCTATAAGTGCAACGGAATTGCCGTCCACCTCTCACAAATAAATTTGGACTCTTCGATGTCGGGTCAATGTACGGCAGCAGGGAATTAAGTGTAGCCTAAAGTATGTTTGCTTAACTATTACGACAGTATAGTTTACGTCTCACCTCTTTCGTAAATTAGTATACTTCCTCGATACTTCTGAGCTTCCATAAAGTCCGAGGGACAATATAGAAATGTTACCTGAAAAATTGGATAGTAAAATTTTTATTGAATGAAATATTGTTTCAGATCTGAGTCCAATAGTAAGTGAGTGGTCAACAGCAAGCAGTGGACAAGGGGCATTCATATTTGACGTTTTGCTCAGCGACTCAGACCTCTCCGCCGTAATGTCCTCCAAGATTTCCAAGCCTGAGGGCCAGACCCCCGACGAGTTTGAAGTGCAGGTTGCACAGGAGCTGTCTAACCTCGAGCAATCTGCTGCTGAAATCAAGAACGATCTTAAGGACTTGTATATCACTGCTGCTAAGCAGGTAGACATTTCGTCTGGCCGTAAGGCGATTGTTATCTTCGTACCTTTCCGCCTGCTCGCTTCATTCAAGAAAATTCAGGTTCGCCTTGTGCGCGAGCTAGAGAAGAAGTTTTCTGGCCGTCACGTAGTGATAATCGCCCAGCGCACTATTCTGGGCAAAGGTTACTCGCGTGCTAACAAAGGTGCCGGACCCCGTCCTCGCTCGCGTACTCTCTCTTATGTTCAGGAGCAAATTCTCGATGTACGTTGCCCCGTCAAGCTTTCCTTGCTGTCATTATTTTTTGCATTTAAAGTTCGATGATGGCCTCTGGGTTTACGCCACCCCATGCCGTATGCTCATGTGCTATGCTGTTATCGTTCGCTTTAATTTCAGGATCTTGTTTTTCCTACCGAAATTGTTGGCAAGCGCACGCGCTGCCGTCTTGACGGCTCCAAATTGCTAAAAGTGCAGCTAGACCCTAAGGACCAGGTGAATGTGGAGACTAAGCTCGACACTTTTGCCACTGTATATAAGAAGCTGACCAACAAGGACGTTGTGTTTGAGTTTCCAGTGCAGGAATAAGTTTGAGGTAATTAAAAGTTTGTAGGAGAACTTCCCGAACGCGGTTGTTGATTCTTGAGCAAGACGCTTAGAAATGCTTGATGTAGTGATTTATTAAATACCACTTAATTCAGGCTACTACTCTTTTGTTCAACCTTCATTACATCACAACTAAACAAGAAAGCGTTTTCATGGTTCTGGTAATAAATTTTATCGCCCGTCATCGCCATCGTCCACCATGTCTTGCGTTAAATTGTTCAAAGCGTCGATTGCTCTTACGTCTAGCATCACCACTGCCCCGACCGATAAAATTTTTGGTATCTGAGTGCAACAACCAAGTATAGTTGTTTATTAGATCAAAAAAGGAAATCTGTGCCTGATGCCTTCTTACCGCGTCGATGTAACGCGACCGACCGAACGCTTGCTTGTGCTTATTCGAAATGACGCTTTCCTCTAGCACCAAGTCGAATATTGTTCTCCTCGCATCACAGCAGCGTCCACCTAGACATTTTGCCCGAAGCTGCTTCTGATTTCGTTTTGCTGTCGCTCGCCTCACCTGACGTGCACTTAAGAATAATCCACTCATAGCACCTCGAATCATATTCGAACCAGTGGATGAAATGTTACTAATGTAGTTATTTATTATTAGAGTTTCTCTAATAAAAAACCAATGCCATCATCTGCTAAAATGATGCAAGCCTTGATATTGTTCCGTTCCACTCGGGCGACACAGCGCACCCGTGCCCTGAGTAACGTTGCCGCCTCTGTTGGCGTCATACACTCGGATCGTGGGTCTAGGCTTGCAGCGCTACGCGAATGCTTAAGTGAAGAAGCTGGTCAGGATCCGACCTCACCAGTGCAAAGGTTGTCACTCGAAGATTTCGCGTTCGACACTGAAGTCGCGCCCGGCGTCAAACCTTCGCGCAAGCCTAGTGCATCTCATCGAAAGCCGAAGTGGTTGAATGCGCAGCCAACAACGGGGGAGAATTATGAGCGATTGCGCTCGACCGTCAAGGATCTGGGTCTAAGTACCGTGTGCGTGGAGGCCAAATGCCCCAACATCGGCGAGTGCTGGGGTGGTGGCAAAGATGGCATTGCAACTGCCACTATAATGCTGATGGGGGACACCTGTACGCGCGGATGTAGCTTTTGTGCCGTTAAAACGAGTAAGAAGCCAAAGCCATTGGACTCTGAGGAACCTGAAAAAGTGGCGGCGGCTATTGCTGCCTGGGGTCTCGACTATATCGTGTTTACAAGTGTCGACCGAGATGACTACGAGGATCAAGGTGCTGGACACTTTGCTAAGACCGTGCGCACACTTCGTGCCAAGCTACCAACGATCCTGATTGAGTGTCTTACACCCGATTTTACGGGCAATGACAAGCTTATCGATCAGGTGGCAACTTCAGGCCTTAATGTTTTTGCTCACAATCTGGAGACGGTCGAACGCTTGCAGCGTCGTGTGCGTGACTATCGCGCCAATTACAAGCAGTCTTTGCACGTACTAGAGCGTGCAAAGGTGGCTGCTTCACATCTTCTGACGAAAACGTCACTGATGCTTGGAGTAGGGGAACGCAATGAGGATGTGTTCCAGACGCTGCGTGATTTGCGCAACAGTGGTGTGGATGTCGTGACTTTTGGTCAATATCTTCGTCCAAGCACTAAGCATATGCCGGTCAGCTCCTACGTGTCACCCGACGCATTTGCCGAGTGGCAGAAGGTGGCCGAGCAGATGGGGTTTCTTTATGTCGCTAGTGGCCCAATGGTGCGCTCTAGCTACAAAGCCGGTGAATACTATATGAAGAATTTGCTTAGGATCCGCAAAGAAGAAACCGCAGCATAAGATCGTGTGTGTAATAAACTTGTGCGCAAAGCATCAGAACGGCCTGCAAGTCGTTTTGACACATACAATTATCAATACATTATTCTATTAGATTTTGCAATGATGTTTAATGAATTCAAATTAATGCCTGCACTAGTGACGCCGTTACTAGAGACCGTGTCACCCCCGTGCATGCATCTGTGCAGAGATCGACTGCCTCCTGCAGCTGCGTGTGATGAATCTTGCCAGACTGTAACATGAATGTTACCCGTCCCACCGACGGCATGTAGGCCAGCGCCAGTTTGCCCTGACCGGACTGCTCTTCTTCTTTAAGTGGATCAAGTAGAACTGTTCCATTTACAACACCCTGCAGGAAATTAATCATGTGAATAAGTTTGCTATCCAGACATCTCAAAGCAACGTACCGCGCTAGACGCCGTGACCACGTCGTACATCTCCACAGCGGCATCAGCCAAGGCCAAAGAGGCACAATTGATTGAAGCAGCTATTACTCCACCATCATCTTCCAGGACAGTCAGAAACACAGACAAGACGCACTTAGGCAGCTTGTGCAACATTACGGCCGGGGTCAGTGCCTCCTCCAAAATGGCCGACAACTCCATCTCGTCCGAATCCTGGCCACGCTCCCGTCTCGTCATCTCTTCAGCAAAGGGCGCAAATTTGACGTCGCATACTAATTGTCCGTCCTTACTAAACTCTCGGCGCGGGCGCGTGTCGTTTCGTGGGCCGTATACAGCACAAATTACGCGAGTGCGGCCCAGTTCTACATATGCTGATCCGGCGGCGCCACTGACGGCGTCCAGCTGCATAAAAGGACGACGCATCTCGTCGGGGCTTACACGGACCGTATCAGGGCGCTTAAGTGGTGCATCATCCTTACGCGGCTGCGTGGGCTGCGGGTAATAGCAGTTTTGCATCTCTCTGGCACGAGTGGAGCACAATGTATTGGAAAAGGGCATTCCATAATTCCTACACCAATTACAAGCAATCATTTATAGCATATCTAGTGTAAGGTGCAAGGCACAAGAGAGACAATGGCAAAGGGAGTGAAGGCTAAAGAAGCATCTGCGCCTAGCCCGGAGGTGCTGACCGTCCCCATACTGGAGACCGTGAAGGCTGCACAGCTGCAGAATGGCCTTCGCCATCGCGACTTCCAGCGTTACCGCCAGTACTGCACGCGTCGTTTACGCCGCATCCGCAAATCAACGAAATTTACGCATGGCAAGGGCAAACAGTATATGAATAAAAAGGTGGACATCGAAACGGCTACTGAAAATCGTTTGTTGTATTTACCACTATACAATGCTGAGCGTGCCTGGGGATACGCTATGCAGCTTAAGGAAGATGACAACTTGGACAAGTCAGAGAATGGAGAAGATGCCAATTCTCGAATAAAATTTCACCTGAACGGGCGGCTTCGCAAAGCTGCAGAATGGAGTCAGCGACTTGCTGAAATTTGCGCGGTTCGTGCCGATGTTCGCACGAGTCTCGAGGCAGAGGCCTACGCTGCCTATATGGCTGGCAACTTGGCCTTTCATCGCGAGGAGCATGTACTAGCGCTCGACAAGTTCAGCACGGTACACCGCATCTACACCGACCTGTCGAAAGTGGGCACGTCTTCGCAGAAGGATCTTTTCTCACGCTCTGCCGATGAGCTGCAGCCCTTTATTCGATTCTGCGAGCACCGTCTCGCGCTTCGAGGACGCTTAGCCAACTCGACGGACACATCGTCGCTGGAACTCCAGTCAAGCGGCGATGGGGCTAACAACGCTCTTCTGGAATCGAAGATTGATCTGGTTCTTCTAGAGGCACGCAAGCAAAAGGTGGCCAGCCTTGGATTGGTGGAGTGGAAGCAACAACAGCTTACGGTGCCGACGCAAGAAATTGGGCTAGCAATTGTGCGCACAACAGAGCTTGCTGCCAAGTTAGACGCAGCGCTGGACGATAAGATGCGTGAAACGCGATTTCTTGATTTGCTTAGTGCATACGATGGCTTGCTGCAGGCGCTGAAAAGCGCAACGGCGAAGCTAGAACAGCAGGCAAAAAGTGGCAGTGCCCTGGTGCATTCGGACTTGGAGCTTCTGGCTGCATTAGAGGAGTATGCACGATTTAATAAGCTAGTCAAACAGGTGGAACGTCAAGTTTTCGTGTATCAAACATTAAAAAGGAGATTTTCGGCGCAGCAGGCAGGCGAACTGATACACATTCTGGACATGTTGGTGCAGACTGTTGGCGATATTTTGTTGATACCTGGAATTCGGGAGCTGGAGCAGCGACGTGCGGCGCAGTACAGTTCCTATCAAGCTGTCTTTCGTGCATGCCGTGCTTCGACTGTCGCACAGACGTACCTGCAGGACAAGAAATTTGCTGAGGCGAAAGCATTGTATCAGTATGCTTTAGCTTTTTTAGCTGACGCTGAAGAGATCTTGGCTGCTCAACCGGCAGCGAAAGATGATATACTGCAACAGCTGACCAAGGAAATGCACGTAGAGCTTTCTGGTGCTGTGAGCCGTACTACTGCGCAAAGTTTTCTTGAGTCTTCCACCCGTGCCGATGTCCTGCGCCTTGAACTGGAACAGCTAGAGGTGACAGCCGGAGAGAAGGAAAAGAAAGTAAAGAGGCGCAAAACACGCCAAGTCCCTGTTCTATTGGATCGGCAGGATAAGTTTGAAGCTGGCTCCATTGACGGCAATCGCGAGTTGGTAAAGCTACTTCCTGAGTTTCGTCCAGTGCCGTGCAAGCCGCTGCTATTTGATATGGCGTATAATGAAATGGAGTTTCCTGACCTGACGGACCGCACTAAAACTGACGCCGAGAAGGCCGCCAACGTGGCTGCGACAGAAAAAGAAGGCGGTGGCGGCTTGTTTGGCTGGTTTAGAAAGTAGAATTATCAAGTCAGTTGGATGGATCTGTAGTCACGACATGTTACAGCTTAAACATCATCAAATAAGGTGTTCTTACGCATTATTCTTTATTCCTGGATTAAAATTTTCAATTGTTGCTTTAGTTAATCGTCCTCTTCCTTTGCATTTACAATACGCTGTAACTCATGCTCAAACTCGCGACGTTCTCTCGCATCAAGCTCCTCATCAGTCAGTGCCGGCGACACACGCCCAAGTAAGCGAAACCAAAGTGGAAACCAGATGGCCATGTAAGCTACCCAACGGTGAATTTGGTCAAAATAATTAGTCGCTTCGTAAAAGATGGTGCAGGCCACACCAACTATGCCAAAGATGAGAACGTGGTGACGGTCCTGCAATGGCCCAAAATCTGGGATATTGTCTCTATTCCACGGTGCGACAGGGTCGAATTCTTTGCGGTATGCGGCTTCTTCTCGCAAAAATTCGGTCATGTTTGCCTCTTCTACCAACGGCTGATCATTAATCACTCGGCGGGACATGTTTACACAATGTAAGGCATGACATCATGTAATAAAATGATTGTTCAAATTGGCGAAAAATGTAAGTAATTGTACAAAGTTTACAATTGTAGAAAACTCGTCAGATATGGAGAAGTACACTCGGTGGGCGGATCTGACGACGGGCATCAATCCATTCGTACCCCAGCGTCGGCGTTTCCAATCCAACTGGACAATAACTGTTTTGCAAATTGCTTCAGGATTCATCATTGCGCTCGCACGCTGCCCAATGATTTTAATTGTCTTCTTTGCGCTCGCTCTTGTTAATCTCGTGGTATCGATCCTGGCTGTAATCCCGTTTCTAGGACGCTTACTGAAGCGTATATCCGAGTGGCTGCTGTGCTCTTTACT